ATACTTGCTAATATTTGAGGCAACTCAGGCTGCTGCACGCCGTATTAAGTTGTTTAGTGCAGGGCCTGCACGTGGACCATGCTCTGTGAAATAGAGCAGAAGTTCCATGTGCATCGATGTCTCTCCGTGACGGGACAGTGTGTGGTGGCTCTTAATGATAAAACGTCCCCTTCAGATCAGAGGCTGTCTGTTGAGAGGAATCTCTCCTCTCGGGAAGACTGTAATATCGCGCAGCGTATGATCCGACATGAACACGCAGAGAGCTAAAGTTGGAGAAAGTGAATACCTTCTTCCGCTTTGAATTCTTCTGTTGCACTTCCTCATTTGGATGTGGTTTAAAAACTACTTTATTTTGAAAATTTTCCAATGGGGTGCCTGTAAGCATAAAACTTTTCCTGAAGAAAACTTGTCATCAGTGGTGAAATGAATCAAACCATCTGACTAAAACCCCCCAAATCGCATATAAGGGCTCAAAATCACTCTGAAATTCAGTGTGGTCTTAACGTATCTGTGCAGAACTTGATTATCTGATTTATAGAAACTGTGCTTTCTTTTTCTTATTTAGCTTGTAATACATAACAAGATTGCATATCACGATGGCAGGTTTCAGAATCCTCCAAGAATTTTCTTTAACGTGGTAGTTCATTCGTAGCATCTGATGAAGCAGGCTGTCACCTACGAAAGCTCATGCCTCCCTAAACCAGTTAGTCTCTAAGAGTGTCTGTTCTGGGGTGGAGAGGGGAGCGCTTTAATTAGAGTAGCTCTCAGAGCCGCTCTGATTAACGTGCCCGCAGCGTCGCATGTATTCAGTATCCCGTGTTTCAAAATGACAGCAAGGGTGTTTTAACTAAAGCTTGTTCGAGTGTGTGTGTGTGTGTGTGTGTGTGTGTGTGTGTGTAAATATGTATATGTATAATATTCAGATTCCTATTATTTTCATTTTAATTGTTATATATCCAAATGGTTAAACAAATGTAAATATATATATTTGTTTGTTGCAGTTGTTTGTTCTCTCACTCACACACACACACACACGTACGTCTATTTATGTATCTCTGTATAGATTATTTATATATAGGCGTGTGTGTGTGTGTTGGTATTCTAATTTTTTTAATTAATAAAATAAAATAACCTGAATTGTGCCTAATCCATAAGAAGAAACAAACTTTAAAACTGTTTTGTATTTAAAGCCATTTTTATTTAATAGAAGAAAGTATTTTGCTATCTGTACTCTGGTAAACTGAACTGCTTTTCATCACCAAGGCCTTTAAGATTTTTAAAATAACAAACATAATTTCTTTGTTACATCTTAGTAGGTGCTTATAGGTTGGAAAAGGAAACTAGCTTTCCTGCTTTCAGTATATTTGAAGTGTTACCTTAGCATTTAATTTCCAAAGCTTGTTATGCTCGAGGGTATAACTACAGCGTCCCAGAATTTTTTTTCCAAACCTTAGCTTAAGATGTTATGTACCCCAAACTTTGTCTCTACTACAGTTTTTGTTTTGGAGTGTAAATATGAGCACCTTTGTCAAAGAAGCATCTGGCTGTAGAGCAGGTATTTAAAGTACATTAGCACTGAACTGAGAGATCTACCCTCCTCTAATTGTCAGCTCAGTTCTTTTGTGTCAACTTTTCCCTTGTTTTATGTTGCAAAGAAAGTGATCAAAATACTGTGGGTTCTCTGATTTAGGGTCTAAGCCAGTGGTTCTCACCCCTCAAACTCAAGGCACCTCTTGGAAAAGCTAGCTCTTAGCTTCCACTTGTTTCTTGACAATGGAAGAAATAATAGAGCAATGTTTCTGTTACAGAGATTTCAGAAAGCCCACAACGGGTCAGAATTTTTTGATGCTATGGATTACTATTTGTAATCTCTGAGTTTATTGTAGTCATATGTAGGTGTTTGCACACCTGCCAGTGGTAATCATGTGGCATCCTTAAAAGGATCTTGTAGCACCTGTGGATGCCATGGCACCCTGGTTGAGACTCCAACCTTCACCGAAGTTGATAAAAAGACACCTGCTGATTTCACTGGATCTGGAGCAGGCTGGTCTGGGGAACGTACAGCATTGATGTTGCAGCTCTATTTTTGACTAAAACCTTTGAACAGAGATACCAAGGGGGCTCTCTGTTTTGAAGAGGGGATAGATTACCACTCTGAATTTCTAGCGCACACAGCAGTGCAAATAGACTGCAGTGACTTGTGTATAAAGAGCACTGGGAATGCTACCAGTCTACAGTCTAAAAATAATTTTTGTTAAATGTAAGTGCATGATTATAAATTGCCGACTGATTCACTCGGCTTTTCCGTTTTGAACCCATTTTTCAGAGGTTTATTACTTCTCTAGAACAAAAGTTGGCATGAATAATATAAACCCGGGAAGACTTGTTACTATAAATTCACACAACGCAGAAAAATGGACATTCTGAATGTCTTGGCCTAGGCCCTCTTGTCCAAAAAGGATGTTGAAAGGAGTCTGTGAAGTAGGTTTACGTTTCTGGCTTTTTGTAAAAGGATGTTGTCAACTTAATCAGGGGCTCGAAAATAGCTTCTTCCCTCTGTCCTCCATAGCGGCGCTGCGGGTCATTGGAAGTGAAAGAATTTTAAAAATCCAGTTTCGTTTTTTAATTTCTCTGAGTTTGGTTGCAGAAACTCAAGGGGCTCCATCTACTTATTTATCTGCCAGGGTATGAGACCGCTGTAATCCACAAATGTAATTACAGTTTGGGAGGCCATTCCTAAACTAGATTTAGGACAGCGTCTTGGACACTGTTAATAGAACCGACTCAGCCAAGGTTACTCACCCAGGATATCTTTTCTCAGGGCCCTAGTCAGGCTTTGCAACCTGTGCTTCTCTTACTGGAACCCAAAGCATAGAAAAAGTAGGAATGAAAGGAAATTTAGGATGTCGCATCTAATCCAACCCACTACTCAAAGCAGGATCAACCCTGTCTGAATTATGCTAGATACGAGCTGTAGTCGCATCTTAATTTCAGGTGATCGGTGCTGCAATGTTCGGCTCCAAGTTCTGCAGAAGAATGGTTTTGTTTGAAAATTAGAGTTTATTGGCGCAGTTTGAAAAACATGCAAATGTTTCTGTGGGTCTCAGGCGTTTTTTAAACCCTGTTTCTACAAAATTAAGATTTGGGCCAAATGTATGTGTCCCCTTAAATTAAGAGGGCAGAGGAGTAGTTTTTACTGAGAAGAGAGGAGCAGTCACATTGTTTTTATTGGTGTATTTTTTCCAGACTGATGTTTATGAGGCATAATATTTCCTTATTTAACCGCTGTAGTCTAAAAATAAGTTTATAGCAAGAAAATCAGAGGTTGCTGCCTTCCTAGTCAGCAGTGGCTGAATCCTGTACAGGTTATAGACTATGTAACAAAATAATTTTGAGATTAAATATTTTAAATAGTCTTTATGGCAGGGGTGGGCAAAATACAGTCTGCGGGCCAAATCCGGCCCACGAGGCTATTCTGTCCGGCCCGCGGGGCCCCTAAAAAAGTTTAAAAAATTAATATTTCTCTGCCCTTGGTTCCTGTCATTTTTGGACTGGGAGCTTCTGGGTTGGGAGCACGTGGCTCCCCCAGTGCGGGGAGTTCAGGTAAGTGGAGGGGTGGGGGGACCCCGGGCAGGGAAGGAGCGTGGGGGAGGGGAACA